ATGCATGTTTTAATTTCATCAGGCATCTAGTGCTGAGTGTTGTGAACATAACCCAAGCTAACTTGTGAACAATGCTTGTATGTGTACCACTGCTTCTCTTTGGATAGGGTGTCTACCAGGTCTACTAAAATGTTTATCAGTTTCCTTTTGGCAGAGCTAATTGAGCTACTCCTTTAATTCAATATGATTTCTGCATTTCTGAGGTAAATTTCTTAGTTCTCTTTCTAATACTACTTTGCAGAGCGAAAGGGAGCAACCCCTATATTTAGCTTGCTCAATGCTTTTGTATATTAAAAAGAATTCTAATACCTCGAGGGCTTGAAAATTTGGCAGGAGGATAGTCCAAAGTATGTTGGAACTTAGCAAATAATTCTGTTTATCATGCACAAATGGAATATACAATCGAACTTATTCAGTCGTAGTTGGGACAGGACTAAAAGCAGTGAAAAAATTTATTTCTGTCATTGAAGTCAGCATGTTTGACTAATACACACAGGGTGCAACAGATCTGCTGAGTAAGGCAGTGATACTTTTACCCAGGCAGTTTCTGGAGAAGAACTACAAATTTAAAGTGGACAGTTCTAGACATTAACACATGCTAGGGCCAATTTCAAGTTAATGCCAGGATGGAGAACTAGGCACTCTGTCCACTCTCACGAGTTTGCCATTAGCATCTCATGCCCTCTCCTCCTCCCCTCCACCCCATCCAGGAATTTGTCATCCATTCTTGCCCCTAGGCAGAGCACAGAGGAGGTTAAGCAGAAAAAAGACCTAAAGGGTCCAATCCCACTGCAATCATTGGCAAGGCTCTCAGACGTCATTGGGAGCAGATCAGGCCTGAAATGAAGAGTCTTGTGCATATTAAGCAGCAGAAAGCTTTCCTGATATTCAGACTCAATTTCATCTTATTGCTTCAGTTACTCTCCTACTTCCCCCTTATAACACACTAAAGAATTCCTTTCACCACTGGTTTTTACATACTTTAAATAGTTGTAGACCGTCTCTCTCCCCCAATTCCTCAATCGTTGTTTAGCCAAGAAATAATTATTTCGCTCTTTTAAGTCTTTTCTCATACATCAATCATCCAGTGCCTCAGGGAAGCAGGGTTGGGGGTTTGCTCCGCTCCGCGTGTGCCATCGTCCCGCACAGCTCCCGGAAGCAGCGGTATGTCCCCACTCTGGCTCCTACATGTAGGGGCAACCAGGGGGCTCCGCGCACTGCACCCACCACAAGCATAGCCCCCACAGCTCCCATTTGCTGGGAACCATGGCCAATGGGAGCTGCAGGGGCGGCACCTGCAGATGGGGCAGCATGCAGAGCCGCCTGGCCGTGCCTCCGCATAGGAGCTGGAGGCAGGACATGCTGCTGCTTCTGGGAGCTGCCTGAGGTAAGTGCTGCCTGGAGCCTGTACCCTTAACTCCCTCCCACACCCCAACTCCCTGCCCCAGCCTTGATCCCCCTCCTGCCCTCCAAACCCCTCGGTCCCAGCCTGGAGTCCCCTCCCACACCCTGAACTCCTCATTTCTGGCCCCACCCCAGAGCCCGCACCCCCTCTCATACCCCAACCCCCAATTTCATGAGCATTCATGGCCCGCCATACAATTTCCATACCCAGATATGGCCCTCGGGCCAAAAAGTTTGCCCACCCCAGTCTACCCCTTTCTGATATTGAATTAAACAAACAAAACCTTTCCTCTCCCCCAATATTCAAGAGGCATTCTACTAGAATTATAGAAAGAGTAAAATCCCTGTTGGTGAGGTGATGCATCTTTATATGCAGACCAACACTTTATAGGCCTTTTTTTTTTTACTGTCATATCACATTGTAAACACATGCGTAATTTTGCTGTCTGCTATACCGTCTAGATCTTCCAGCATTACTCACCTGGAAAAGAACTCCTAAATATAAAATAATTAAATAAGACTAGGCATATAAAGCCAGGTACACTAGCTGTTTAATGTGACTTTAGACAAAGAAAAGCAAGAACTGCACACATTTAAAAAAAACAACAACCCTGCAGTCATGAAGGCAACAGAAAGAGACTATACAATCTGACCTTGTCATCTAGGATTAGGCAACTTCCTGTTTTACAGGATTACCAAAGACATCCTCAATTATACTAAGTTCAGTTTCTGCTCCACCTTTGGTAAAAGACCATCTACCTTAAGCAACCAAAATATGTTGGCCAATTTGTATAAATTTCATTGAATTTGTCTTTTTTGTATTAAGGCCTCTCAAGTGCATCAGACAACTCAACTTATGTTCTCTGTTTGGGTCAAGCACAACTGAAAAGAATTCCACGCTCCTGGAATTTTTTACCCATATCTTCATTCTAGGAATGCTGTATGATTCTTCATACCTTCCTTCATGGCCACCAGTTCAACAGCTTATATCCAGTGGGAAAGAACAAACTATAACTACCATCCTCTGAGGCTTGAGCTAATACTGCTTCCTAAATGAGAGATCATTTGGTATTAAAATAGCCACTCTTTCTAGAATGCCAAACATCTCCCTGATGTATCCCAAGAGTGGGAGCCATGCTGTATTTCTTCTTTTGGGGCTACTGCCTGCCCAGCACAGTAATTCGTGGGGGGAATAATTTGGATAGTAACTTTAATATATGGTAGCATTACAGTTTTGCACAGACGCTCCAAACAAAAATGGATTTCCACCTGGCAGGTCAGATCAAGCAATTAATAACACTGCAAACAAAGATGGGCTTGCAGGTCAGCAGCCACTCAAACTCTGTATAATGTCAAAGCTCTCCATACCACAAAGAGGATATCATATTTTCTTATAATATACAGGTCAAGCCCAATTATTCAAATCTCTTGTAGGACAGTGGTAACATTCAGAAAACTGGAGTTAAAGATAAACAATTTTTAACCCAAATCTAGGATTTAGAGGAATATATCCACTTTTCAGATATGTGTGGCTTACCTATAGTTACTTTAGCAAAATATAAACACTTTCCCATTTACCTGCAGGCCTCTGCACATGACTGTGATCAAGAGTTATTGTACCCTTGTTCTTCCAGCTCATTTTTAATGACAATTTTTGTGTTCAGTGTAATACAATATACATTTGAATGTACAAGGATACAAGATATCGTATGGGATCTCCTCATAGGACTTGTGAAGGTATTCTTTGGAAACCAATTCCATAAAAAATATATGGCCAATAGTAAACAAAGCCAGGCTGCAAAAGGAGTGCTGATCTAAAAACTTTTCTAGCCCCCTGAAATTTTCTTTCACAGATTGTTCAGTAAACAAATATGTGCAATTGAAATATAAATAAAAAAACTGAAAACTGTAAATATACCAGGTGATTTAAAGATATTGCATACAGATATTGTTATTTAAATCAACAGCTTAGTGGTAACATAATGTGATTTCAACAAAAAGTTTCATGAAATTGCTTTGTGGTTCATGTCTTGTCATACTATAAGGATTACATTTAATATTACTGATTAAATGAGTTATCTAACTAAATCGAATAATGCTATGCTGAGAGTGTGAAGTAAGACTTAAGTGAAAAGTGATATTTTATCCACCACAATCAGTTATGGAACTGAATAAAATTTCAATACAATTATAATTGTTGAGTAAAACTGCAAGAACTTTGTTGTATAAATAGTACTGTAAAAGAAAAACCACACCAGTTCTTAAACATAAACCTAAATAATTCACATCAAAATAATGGATACTCTGTGTCTCAAAGTGATAGCAATTGAGAGAACTCTTGTCCAGTTGTAGGCAACCATCCTCACTTCAGATCAGCTTCTCCCATGAATTTTAGGTTTGCTCGGTTTACAATTGGCCATATATTTTATGGGGAGTTTTCTTTTAAAAAGTAAACAATACAATATATCCAATATTTTGACTACAGTCTCCATATAGTAGGCATCATACATTACTACAGTATTCATTTTGGGCATTTTCCTGCTCTCCTCTCTCAGGCAAAACTCGGTTTCAAGTCAATATGAATTCTGCCACAGCTAAGAAGGCAGATCGGGTCTTCTTGGCAGGGTCGGCTCCAGGCACCAGCTTACCAAGCAGGTGCTTGGGGCGGCTACTTCGGAGAGGGGCGGCACGTCCAGCTGTTCGGCAGCAATTCAGCGGACGGTCCCTCACTCCTGCTCGGAGTAAAGGACCTCCCGCCGAATTACCGCCGCAGATCGCGATCGTGGCTTTTTTTGTTTGTTTGTTTTTTTGTTTGGCTGCTTGGGGCGGCCAAAACCCTGGAGCCGGCCCTGCTTCTTGGTGCTTGTCTACACATTGGGGTAATGCGAGCACTACTGGGTGTGATTTCTAAACAGCATTAATGTGTTGCACATTAATTCAAGTATGTAGACCGTGCTGGTTCACACTAAAAATTCCCTACTGAACTTTAACATAGTACTGTTTTGAGCAGCACTACATTAAAGGGCATTAGGGAACTTTTAATGTGCATCTGCGGAATCTATGAACCAATTAATGTGCAACACATTAGTGCACATTGCTGCTCCATGTATACAAGCCCTTCAATCTAGTGTCCACAAAAACAGAACTTAAAATGGAAACAAATAATTATAAACTTCCCGCTGGTTTCTGCTTCTTGCTTTTGCTGTTTACTGAACTGTCCTCGAAAGGAACTTCCACAGAGATGTAAAATGCGTGTGTTAAAGGGGTGGCATTCTAGCAAAGGGAATTACAATGGAGCTAACTGTAGCTGGTAGGTAGGGGTAGACTTATTGGCCAATGTGGTGGCCTCAGAAAGTGGGCTCATTTTTCCAATGAAAATGTACATTATTTTATACTGGAAACTAGCAGAATAAGCGGGGGGAAATTGTGAATTATATAGTGTATTTATACCCTAGGCTGATCTTTAATGTTATCAAAATTGTTATGGTGGAGCCTGCTTATGTAAATTCTCAAAAGCATGCTTTTGTTTAAGAAACAGAATAACTACATCTTGAAAGAAGTACAGACCTTGTTTTAATTCTTTTAGTTTCATTTACCTTGTACTGAGACTTGCAGTTTTTGTTCCAGTAGGCGACTCCAACCCTTCCCCTGGCTTTGAGGATTTCTCTCTGTTCATTTGTTGTAGTATTGAGTTCAATTCACTAATAACATTAGCCTTTGGGCCTGAGAGAATTGGGCTTTTTACCTCAGTTACATCACCCCATAGCTTGGAGGTCCTTTGCTGTAAAACTTTAGCCGTACTGGGCTGTGCAATGATAGGAGGTGGGGGTGGAGCAGGTGGAGGGATAACAAAGCTATCTACAGTTTCTTCAATTAGAACATCTTTGTAAAGTGCATTGCTTTTGTTGATTATGGGCTTCATTTTTGGCTTAGGAGGTACTGGGGGTTTGTCCACCAGAAATGTTTGCCCATCTGCATAGACTGTACAAGTATCCAAGTTCTCACCACCTTCAGAGGATAAGGTAGAGATGCTGGACACTGTTGAGATAGTGCTGGTTGTCTCTAAGTGATGGTCACTACTAGATCGACTGTCTACCTCCTCAATACCAGAGTCGGTGACATGATCGAAACTTTCAGGAGGTGGCAGAAATGAGGCAGGCAAACAGTTTGAAAGACCCACTTGTTTTTTACTGTCTAAAGAATTTGTTGATTGATTGGGGTTAAATGAAACAGATGTAGGTGTTCCATTTTTTCTTTGCTTAAGTAAGTCCGTTAGAGCAGAACCTGGAGCTGAACGGTCATCGGGGATATCAAAACTGTTAGCAAATTCTAAGGGAGGAGGTAATGGCTCAGTAAAAATAAATTCTTCATCAATATCAATAGATGCTAAAGGAGGTGGAGGGATGCGAAATGGCAAAATGACAGGGTCATCAACAGAGCTAGCTGCTACAATAGTTTTGCAGGGAGATGCAGGTGGCTCAGGTGTAGCAGATACATTCAACCCACTTTCTGCTTCTTCACTATCTTCTGGCATCTCTGATGGAGAATTGTCTGGGTTCATTTCCATTTCAACTCTCTTCTCATCATCTTCAAGGGTGTCATCAGACTTTGCTGCATCCACAGTATGAACCATTAGTAAACCAGCTGATTTCTGCTGTGAAGTATCCACAATATTTATCAGCATGTTTTTCTTTTCTTCAGGCTTCTTCTCTTTCCCCATATCTGTTTCATATTTGTTTTCAGTCTCCTGCCTTCTCAGTGGGCCACGTGTATTTTGCCTGGTAGCAGCAGCAGTCACAGGAAATGTTGTTTCATTATTAGATCTCAACTTTGTATCAATATAAAGTGGTTTATTAAGGTCTGCTTTACCGGTTTCTCCTTTGCCTGGAGTTTGTTGCGTTTGTTCTTTCATGGCTCTATCTCTCGCAGAGAGCGCGAGTGCTAGAGGTGAGTTTGGATCTAATAGCTTTCCTGTGAGTGGGTGAACATAATTATCCGAACTGGACACATTAACGGTCTGAGTTGCAACCATATTGTTTTCAGTAACTTTTTTTATGGATGAGGAGTTTAATGTCCTTGCATCACTTTCATTGCTAGGTTCACTACTATTAAAAAGATTTTCAGATTCTCTAGGTGCGGGAATTGGAGATGGTGACATAAGTTGCCTAAAACTATCTTCATTACTAAATACGTCCTCATCGGTAAATTTAGATTGCCTCATACGTGGTATTGGGGGCATCAGGCCAACATCCTCATCTCCCAAGTCTGTAGAAAGGAAAGCTGGAGAATTACGCCTAGCTTCTAATCTCTTTTCCCTGTCCCTCACTGCTCCAGCAATGGCTGCTGCAAATGGACTACTGACGTTTAAATTATCATCAGGTCTGAGCTGTCCAGGCTGCTCTGAAGACTGAGGGTCAATCTCCATACTGCTTCCTTGGCTGCTTTTCCCACTACTGCTGGTAGATGGTTCTTTCACAATAATTGTTGGAATTGGAATAGAACAGGTCTTTTCTGGACTATCCTCGACATTAGACTGTTTCACTAGCATTCCCTTCCGCCTTGCTGGTTTGGCTGGCACGTAAACTGCTTTGCTTGCTATCTTCCCAACTTCAGAATATGGGTTTTCCGGCATCTGACCCCTCTTGTTTCTGAAGTTTGCCTGCAATGCGACATTCCTACTATACAAGTCCTCAGAATCTAGAGAATAACGGTCCAATTCTCTTCTGTAATACATCCCTTTGTCCCTCATTATTGTTCCCACATGTTCAGATCTACCTGAAGAAACCTTTGAACCTGAATTCTGATTAAATGCAGGTTTAATTGTTCCATAGCTTCTTGATGTTGGAGATTTGGGAGAGTTATAAAGGGAGGGAGAAGGTGGTGGTGGTGAAGGGGGTAGAGACTGTGGTGGAGGGGGGATATCTTCAGAAGTGTCTGGCATGGATAGACTTCTGGTAAATTTCAACATAGGAGGAGCCAAAAATTGACGTTCTTCCTCTGTTATTCCTAAAAAAAAGAAAATGAACAAAGGAAAAACTTTAAAAATTTGCAATGTACTTAAATCCAATGTTATATTATTTCCACTAAAGATATGACCCCAAGGGAATGTCTACACATCCTGCAGGAGTGAGCCTCCCAGCCCAGGTCAACAGATCTGGGCTAGGAGAGCTCATGCTACTGCACTAAAAATAGCAGTGTAGACAGAATTTTGAAATTGTGGGTTGGGCTGGAGCTCAGGCTCTGAAGCCCACCCTGCCACCCTCCCTAAGCTTCAGAGTCAGAGCAACAACTTCAAAGCACTGTTTACACAGCTATTTTTAGAGTGCTAGGGTGAGCCCTGCTAGACCAAGTTTGTTGACCTGAGTAGGGAGGCTTGCTCCTGTGGGCAGTGTAGACATGGCATGAAGCATATTTGAAATTCTGTATGAGTGTGAGGTAATTGCATAGAAGGGAATTTTCTCTGAAATATATCAAGAAGGGAAGGAATTCTTATACAGAGAAACTGTGTGTCTGGCTATAGCAATCCAGAAACACACAAAGTAATGCTATGCTTACACAGCAAGTACAATATTAAAGCATTTCTGGGAATTTTGCCTGTATTGTTTTAGTAAAAGGAATATATAGAACCATCAATATTACATAAAAAGTGACATTTTAATTTTGGATAACATTTTTCAAATACAATTAAGTGACGTAGAAGCCTAAGTTCCCTTTTCAAAAGTGTTTTAGGCACTTAGGAACCTCCTAAGTCCCTTAGATGTTTTAGAGAATGTTACCCTCTGTATTAGTGGTTCTCAACCTATTTACTACTGTGGGCTGCATATGCAGCTCTCTGTTATATGGGCCACATCCACACAGTATATACACTACCTGAATGGCCCTGAGGGTGTCATATGGGCCAAAGCTGTGTGCTGATTGGGCCACAGGCAACCCACAGGTTCAGAACCACTGCTCTATGTAATAAAAGTAATTTCTGATTTTACTCAAAGAGGATGGCATTTTGTATAAAAGGTGACTATGCCATAAGACAACATTTGAAAATATCGTGGGTATTTTGCTGAACAGCTTTACACAAGCACAATGCTGCTCATTAGTTCAGAAATACCTTGAGTAAAGTAGATCAATTTTAACAGAAAATGCACCAAAAACTAAGTTCCCCCCCCCCAGTGAAGAAAAATGATCACTTTGAATTTAAAAAGTGAGCTTATTTTATACATTTATGACCAGTAGGGTGCATATCACACCTTGCATAGCAGATGATGGTATTTTCATGTCAATACACACGTCTGAATGACTCTTAGCTATAGCTGATTTATCACAATAGATCTTCCTCAATTCTTTTTCTTTGCACTTCCAAAATTCTGGCCTTCCAAAATTCTGGCAACTTTCCATAGCCGTTACAACCCCATAACTCTTGCCTAAAGCGATCAAAGCAAAACATGGAAGTTGTACTAGTTTTCATGCAAACTGATTTGTTTCTTGAGCTTTGGATCAGAATTAACTAATGACTGAATTAAGCTGAGGAAAAATGGAGTCAAAATGTTTTAAGCAAGAACAGAAGTTAATAAAAGGTGCCAAAATGAATGTGTAGAATTTACATGAGAAAAATTTTACCTATAGATTTTTGTCTTCTCATTGTACCCCGAGGTATACCTAGAAAAAGACCTTGAGGAGTCCCAGGTACAGTAGGTGGCATCACAGCAATACCCTGTCTATCGTACATGGACTACAAAACAAAACAAAAATATTATGTACAAAAGGGCAATGTTAGAGAGAGACACCATGAGAAAAATAATTCATCTCCTGTTCCACATACTACTTTGTTATTCATCTTAAATAGTCAGTGGTCAAATAAAATTATCTATTCTTCTAGCACACTTTAAGGGTAAATTTGCAGGTATCACATTTCTGTTTATTTCCCTCCCAAAGACATTGCCACAAACTGCACCGCTGTTCAAGTCACCATGCTCATAGATCTGGGTTCTAATATTTTGACATAGAAGAGAGACCTTAAATTTTCTGGGTTTAGTGTGTTAATATTCAGAGTTCTAAATCTGCTTATACTACACAGACAAGTAGTATAAGCAGATTTCAAATGGAATTATTTGTGAGAGTCAGAATTTGGCCCTAAACTTATATTTTGGTTTTATGAAGGTTAAGAGTTTTGACTAGGAAATTATGGTTGAATAGCATGGTTTAGCACGATCATCAGGAACAACAGAATATGATCTCAGCACTTCAGAAATATTTTGTTTTTCTGGAAAGAGCTAGGTCTTCTTCAAATGGTCTCACCATTGAATCAGAAATATTCAAGATCAAATTGACAGAATTAGTGACAGCAGTTTCCTATCTAGGCTTATTCTGGGCCTAGATGCCTGTAGGGTATTCATTATAGGCAGAGCTGGGAATGCTGCCAATAATTAAGGCTACCTGTGTATAACCGCCAGCTTTAGCCATTTGGGATGAACTTTCCTATGCTAACTATCTGGCTCGTTCTAAAATTCTATTTTATTTTTTTAAAGGAAGTTTCAGCTACTATGGTTCACTTATTTTCAAGAACAAGGATAGGGGAAAATGCATTGTTTTGCCCATGTTAAAAAAATATTCAACTATATAATTAGGAAGCTCCAGGGCCTCCATGTTTTGCAGAAGGGACTTGAAGTTTGGCAGGGGTACACCCTGGTGTCAGCGATGCACCTTTTGCTATCTCTCTGAAAATCCACACACATTTGGCCAAGTTCTCCAACAATTGTAGTTTGCAGATGCTCAGAAGAGACTTGTTAGGGCTCGGCAATTACAGTCTCCCATATTTCGTGTGCACTGCCATGCTCCAGTCCAGGGGCTGAGCAGGAATTTCCCTGCCATTGCGCCAATTGCTTGGGGCCTATTGTAGTGCCGGATATGGAAAATGGGAGCAGGAAAACTGTTCTGCAGTCTTAATGCTCCCCATGTTGGCACGCAGGCAGTGATGAGGAGGAGGAAGCTGCCTGACTGGAATGCAGAGGGGGAGGAATAGGGAAGTGGTTTTGCAGGAGCAAGAAAGAGGGGAGGAGCCAAGGGACTCCGGTGGGAGGGGGCAGAAGCAAGATGGGTTGGATGAGAAGGACAGAGCAGGAAGGGGTAAGAAAGAGGTTAGGATTTTTTAAACATAATTATGCAATAAATTGACAATTAAAATGGGGAGGGAGGTGGGAAAATTAAAAATACAAAGATACATCAAGTGGCTGTTATCAAACAGATGAAGGTGAGACAGAAAGCCATCTTATTTTCCACTCAGTGTGGAATACATGCAGATCAACAGAAGAAATTACCCCTTATAAAACAGATTATGGGCACATCTCAGAACATGGAATAATCAGTAGTCTTCCTCTTTCTCATTAGTGTTTATCCCACTCCTAGGGCGCCCTGATCCTCAAGGGGTGAAGCCCCTTAATTCTTCCCTCCTCTCTCAATAGGCCTGGGTTCTTTGCACTTGGTGCCTTCACCTGGCCTCCAGCCCAGTGCAAAACTAACACACATTTGGCATTACAATTTATAGTTACAGGGAATCTAGGACCAAACAGACTATAGGATATAAAACATGTTATTCCTGGAAAGGATAGAGGTAAATTGCAGATGGCCTCAAGTCCCAGCTGACTCCTGTCTCCAAGTGCAGGGAAGGCCTACTGGGCTCAGCTGGCAGCCAGCCCTCCCAGGATCAGTGGAGCCTTAGGGCTCCGTCTCTTCTTTGTGGAGTTGGGAGACCAACCCTGCTAGTTATGAGACACAAAATGGCATCTCCCTCTCTCTGCAGAGAGGAACTCTAGTACTGCTTCCCCTTTGGCTACTGTAACCGGACTCCTTTAAGTTGGATCTGGCCACTTTGGGGACCATTTGTGGGTCACCAAGCCTTGAAGAGGAAGGATAAGGATCTATTATTTTTGGGATCAGGAGGGGGGCTATGTTAGCAGGCAGCAGAACACTTCACAAAAAATGATGGTCTGCAACTCCCTAAAAGACACTGCTGCTTATCCTCAATCTGTACCCCCTGATCTGTCTAACAATGTATAGGTTGTCCTCCAAGTGCCTCAATGATTTGTGGATTTTATACTCACAACACTCTTTTGAGGTAGGGAAGTACTATTCCTATTTCACAGATGGGAAACTTAAGTAGAGAGATACTAGGGCTCAGATTCTCAAAGGTATTTCAGCACCTAATCTAGGCCTGAGAATCTAGACCTAAGTGACTTGCCTAAGGTCACACAAGAAGTCATCGGCTGAGTCAGGAACTGAACCATGGTCTCTTAAGTCCCAATCCAGTGCCCCATCCTTCCTATTTGTAAGAGTTACAAGCCTATTTATTTTCTACAATACTGCTGATATAATTCAGAACACTCTGGGATTCTTTCCTCTGCAGCTGACAAGAGCGAAGTGAATAAATAAGGATTGGTGCTACTTCAGTGGAAAATAAATGCAGCTAGACAGTAAGGGAAACATTTATTTTTTCCTCATAAGACTTTACAACCGGTGGAAGCAAACTCAAATCTGAGGGTGTCTACATTTGGGACTGGGAGTGTAATTCCTAGATAAAGGAGAAACACCCATGCTAGCTCTGATCAAGCTAGTGCACTAAAAATTGAGTGTAGCTACAGCGGCACAAGCACCCAGAAGCACTAGCTGCCCCAAGTGTGTGCCTACCATCTCCAATGGGTATGTAGTCAGGGCAGCTAGCTCTTCCCGCTGTTTGTGCCTGCACTCTATTTTTAAGGCATTAACTCAATCAGAGCTAGTGTGGTTGTGTCTTCTTGAGCTAGGAATTACACACCCTATCTGTAGTTTTCCAGGATATAGAACTTCAGTCGTTAGTGCTTTTTATAGCATTACTGCTGTCTCCTCCCTCTATAGATTACTCAACTTTATCTAGTCAAAACCAAAACAAACAATGTTGTTGGGAGTAAATACACCCAGTAATGAGACAAGGGTTCATGTTAGATTTATTGTCAATGACAAAGCTTAGAACGGTGATAAAGAATAATCATCATGATTAACTACATTTATAAACCCCCCATTGCTGGTGTATATATAACAGCTTGGCAACTAGTGTGTATAAAAAGACTGGACTTACTAAAGCAGTACTATAGGGTGACCAGACAGTAAGTGTGAAATATCGGGACAGGGGGTGGGAGGTAATAGGAGCCTATATAAGAAAAAGACCCAAAAATCAGGACTGTCCCTATAAAATCGGGACATCAGGTCACCCTAACTAATTAGAACCACAGCTTCATAAGTGAAAGCAAGAATTTAGTAGTCACCACTCACATTCATATCTGTAGCTGAAGGAAAGCATCTACTGGAAGGCCGCGGTTTAATCGTTGCCACTCTTGAGTCCACAGTTACATTGTCTGTAATTCTTGATGGCTTGGAAACTGGTACAATTTCATCCACTTTATCTGTAACATAAAAGTATTCACTAAAATAAATATAATTTGTCCAAAGACTGAAAATCTAATCTATTGCAAGGTCAAAGGAAGAGTTTTACTTTTCAAAAAAATGCAAAGAAAAAGGGTGGCTTTTTTTTTTGGCATTTTAACAAGGCAATGCTTGAGCATCAAAAGTCGTGCAAGCCGAGCACTTATTTATTGCTGCTGCGTAACATGCATGCTTTAGTTTTAAGCCTGCATGCATTTAATGTTTACTTAGTGTGACTCGAAAAACAATCCTCTTCTTCAAACCTTCAAAATGTGAAGGGAGAATATCTATATAGAAACGGAAAGAAGACCTTTAGAGATAATGAACCCGTAGAGCACTGTTTCACATAGCGATAAGCAGACAGTACTTAGTCACCAGAATTTCAGTGATATTTTGGACAATAACAAGTACTTCAAAAGTGCTCTTTATGTCTATTCTTCTTCTCCAGTAATTACTTCCTAATCTATTCATCATGTCAGTCTATTAAACAATATAATTTAGCATTATTGGAAACTGCTCCATGTCTCTCTGTTTAATTAAACTTTAAATGTGCTTTATATTAGTTTTGGTTAAAACAATCATATATTTGTGGTCAGAAATAGGGAAAATTCCAATCTGGATCAGAACTTTCCCAACTCTGGGGAACAGTGGTTCAGAACTGGGATTTTGATTCAGCATGCTATATAGTGATAGGAACCATCTGTGAACATGTGAGATCCCTCCAAGTTCAGGAGTGTTTGGACCCAGGCCCATCTCCAGTTGTGACTATAAACCAAATGCAGCAGTAATAGTATTTAATATTTTTAGCACTAATATAATGCCTTAAGTCCAAGGATCTCAAATCACTATGCAATCAACCATATAGTCTTACAACTCCCTTATTACAGGTTGGGAAATTGAGGCACGGAGTAATTAAGTTACTTGTCTAAGGTCACTGAATGATTCAGTCTCTGAACTTGGACTAGAATCCAAAACTTATGCTCTAACCAATAGCCTTCGCAATGCCCCTTTCATCCTATCTTTTGTTCCTGTGAACTCACAGATTACAAACTGGCACTATATGTACTACCCCAAGGCCGGTAATCATGCTAAGCTAGGATGGCATTTTTCTTTTTAATTTCTCTAAAGCAGTAGGGCACCAGTCACACAACCTATGTGTATTCACAGAAGTAATGTACTAGAACCAACTAGAAGTGATTCCTTAGCCTGGTAGCTCCTCTGGTCTTAGGCTTCCACAACTTAAAATTTTTACAAGAATTAGTCAAGCCACACCTTACTTTTCAGGAATTAAGTATGGTGTGTCTGCATCTCAAAGGTTTGATAATTTAGTTTAGGAGAAAATAAGAACTAGTGCATTAGGTTGTTACCGACTTAAAAACAGCTGTGCAGGGGTCTAGAAGTGGCACCACCATGTAAAGTATCAGATTTGAGCTTGATCCCTCACTGGAAAAGCAGCCATGCTTGGGCTCTAGGAGTGTGGTAAGGGACAGGAAGTAGGCAAGAGGAAGAGAGATTTGTCTCTCCCAGCTCTGGCTGGTGCATAAAAGGAGGAACTACATTCAGCCTTCTCTGCTTGGAAGACTGTTGCTCTGGGAGAGGAGACTTTTGGAGCACTGGGTGACAGGGAGAGAGCAGGAGAGGAACAGCTGCTAGAATTATTAAGTTGAACGTTGTAGGTGGTTGGCTTACTCGGAAGTATTACTGTCTGCTTTCCACTGGAGTTAATATTACATTTTTTTGTTTGCTTTATTTCTTTTCACATAATAGACCATCCAGGGGGAGGAGAGAAAAAAAACACGCTTAAAACCTTCACAAGCAAATTAAATAAACATTTAAAAAAAATCACATTCCATATGGTCTTAACAGTAATTCAAACTGTGCACTTTCCAGAAGAAAATACCTGTAACCTTCTGATGGGCAAAAAGTATCAGAAAGCCATGGATTTAGCCTTAAGCATTTGAGCTACACAGAAAAAAATATGGCTAGGTTGCAGAATCAAGTTTAGGGGTATCTACCATTGATCACAACAAGGGCATGGGAATTTCATGTTACATCTCTCCAGCCCTTTATATGATCCCAGAAGACCAAATACTTGTTCTTGGGATCCAGACAGAGGGGTGTTTTGGGGACTGAAGCCCTAGACACCCAAAATCTGTAAATAACAAATATACCATATAAAAACGTATTCCCTTTATTTTGAACAGACACATAACCATACACCTCTTCAGACAACAAAAAAACTACAGGGAAAGAATGATGAGGCTATGACAGACACTTGAAAAGCATGGAAATATTCATTTAGGGGATGAAACATACATAATCTCCAACTGTACTGATTTTGCAAGACAATACTGGAAGTCAGATCTTAGTATTTGACCTGACCACAATATCAGTTTGTACAGATTTCCTAACAAAATCTGATATTGCTACCACATTAGCTTGTGGGGAACTTTATTCTTTGCGATTTTACAGCTTTAATGTTGTCAGCTCCTCAGTCCTTCTCACCCTATAGCTGCTCCCATTCAAATTGTATTTGGTTCCTTTCCAGTCGTAGCTGAGAACAGCTGAAGCAAGTTGGAGTGGTGAGGGAGAAGTTGATATGATTAAGTTGTTCTGCAAAAAAGTGTTTTTAGGGGCATCTTGCACCTAGCAGTGGTTCTAACTGCAGTAGAGGCAGTGTTGCAAATGATGCCCAACTTGTCCTTTTGCACTGCTGTCTTTGATCAGAGCACAAATGTAGAACAGTAAGATGGCATTTTAAAACTAGAACAAAAATTTTGAAGCTTCCAAAGCAGCTAGGGTGTATGTGGGGTGGAGTAAAAGTAATCCAAAATGGTAGCAGCTACATGGCGGGTCCTGCAGAATACACCAGAATCTTAATATATGGCCCCCACATTCCATCACACTTTTAAAGTGACAGCACTATGTAAATAAATACATTTTCATTATATTATTAGATATGTGCTACCTATGTCAAGAGAGTCAACTGGCCTTTTCTTGACTTCTATGTAATTCCACTATAAACTCATCCAAAATAAATAAAAAAGTAGATATTTAGGGCAAATTTTTCAAAGGGCTGTACCCTTAAAATAGGTTGTTCACGTCCGCAGTAGTAGTGTGCAAACCATGTTTGTGCCAGTAATGCATTTTCAAAAGGCAGCACACTGGAACACTTTTTGTCAACTTTGCTAGTGGACTTCTCCTCCCCCCTCTCCTTTTTTGTGTTTTGACATATTTTTGTAATATGTATTCTTGCACCACTAAGAGGGGCTCTCACATGATGATATTGGAAATGTATTTATTTATGAGGCTACCTATATAAACAATTTTAACAAAACAAAATTTAGAAGAGGCACAGATGGGGCGCAAATGAAATGCAGGTGCAAGAATTTACACCTGGCATGAGTGGTGTGTTGGTGGCATGGCCAAGAAAGTGGACCCAAATGGAATTCTTAAAGGGTGAGCACCTGCATGCAGTTGGTCATAGGAGAAATATTTTGAACTAGAAAATGTATCTGCAACATGCCTACACCAGGGGTCAGTCCACACCAGTGGCATTTCATCATTAACCCAGTCATTTAGCAAAATGCAGCCACAAGCAAAACAAACTGTTATGAGGAGCAGTTTGTGGCTAATTAATACAGTAATAAAATGTTTCCTGCTCACATTTTGACCAACTTCAGTCTCAGAGAAGGGGAAAGGGAAGAGAAGTGTCCATTGGCTCAGCAGCCAGAGTACAGCCTGAATGCATCCGTAGGACAGGATTTTTAGGACAAAGATTAATGTCCAACATTTGTCAGAGGAGAAATTCAGTACGTTTGACAATCAAACTCTCCTGAATTTTAATGAAAACTTACATGGGGATCTGGAGAGTCAAACACAGGTGCCATGCTACACCTGAGACTGCTCACGGGGCTCTTGATAACTGGAACCTTTCAGAGGACCACAGAGATATCACAAGTATAAGCCAGTCTGATGCCTCTGCATGCATGCAGCAATTTCTGAGTGCCACTGTATTAAATTTCCCCGAGAGAGACAGCACCAACAATCATAAAATAATTGTATTCCAAAGTGCATTTTCCATATGTCCTGCGTGCAACTGATCACACCTATATTTTGCTCAGGGCACTCTCCCCTCAGGAAATTAGATGGCCTAAAGGGACGGGGAGGAGTTCCATTCTATCAGTGTGCAGGTCATTTGTGATGCAAAAGTTTTAATCACAGACGTGGTAGCACAGTGCCCAACAGCATGTCATGACTCTTACATTCTCAGGAGGTCTGGCTGCTAGGTAAGTAGCATTGTGATGTTTAAATTAATATCTGTGGTATTACTAGGGTCGGTCTCCCCGCAATAATATATTTATTTATTGACGAAAATGTACTTATCCCATAAAGACATGGCTAATGACTCCTGTTCCAAATCCCCTGACTCTCTCAGAGGAAAATTATAATGCTGCCCACCCATCAAGCCACCAGATGCATTGAAGAAGGAACTCTAAAAATGAGAGTCAGGTGCCTAGTGGCACATTACTGTACAGGCCCCACAATATACCATATAATCCTGGCAAGACTGCATATTACACAACATAGCCAAGAGATGTGGACTAGCTCCACCTGAAGGGCTAGAGATTGACCTTGTCAGACCCACAGAGGATAAGAATGATCATGATCCAAAAAGGCACTTACAGGCTAACCCCAACACCTCAGGCCAGCATGCCAGAAACACCAGGCAAAGACTGATTGAACACAGTTTCTGAGGCTAGTATTGCCAAGACCTGTATACTTACCACGAAGTCCATAATGCTTGCTCAGAGGGGATGGGGGTAATGAAGAAAAAAACCTCAAAAAACAGCTGCCTCAAGAAATGACTTGTATTTGTAAGAAAAGCAATGAATGTCTGGCACAGTGTAAAAAAATGCTCTCATGAGGCTAAAGTGAAAGAACAGAGGCAAATGTTCTTCAAATACCAGCAGCACACATTGTTAACAATGCAAATATAAACTACAAAATGTTAGACTAATCTAGTCAGCCAGAATACAATGTTAGCCAAAATGTAGAAATGGTTGAGTTCTGCCACTCATGGCCTTATGGCTAAGAATTAAAAGGACAGGCACATAAAAAACCCTAAAAATCCTATCGTTATTGTGATTATTTTTTCTTCCCTCCCCCTTTTGCCTGGCGTGTAGGCATGGGCAACGAGGCCCTCTCAGTTATGGCTCTCTGCAGCCGGCCACTGCGACGAGGCACAGTGGCCTGTGGTGGTTCTCGAGAGACACTTGTTCCCTGA